GTTTTGACCAGACCTTTATTCTGACCTAGTCCTATGTTTTGACCAGACCTTTATTCTGACCTACTTCTTTGTTTTGACCAGACCTTTATTCTGACCTAGTCCTTTGTTTTGACCAGACCTTTATTCTGACCTAGTCCTATGTTTTGACCAGACCTTTATTCTGACCTAGTTCTTTGTTTTGACCAGACCTTTATTCTGACCTAGCTCTTTGTTTTGACCAGACCTTTATTCTGACCTAGTCCTTTGTTTTGATCAGACCTTTATTCTGACCTAGCTCTTTGTTTTGACCAGACCTTTATTCTGACCTAGTCCTTTGTTTTGACCAGACCTTTATTCTGACCTAGCTCTTTGTTTTGACCAGACCTTTATTCTGACCTAGTCCTTTGTTTTGACCAGACCTTTATTCTGACCTACTTCTTTGTTTTGACCAGACCTTTATTCTGACCTAGTCCTTTGTTTTGACCAGACCTTTATTCTGACCTACTTCTTTGTTTTGACCAGACCTTTATTCTGACCTAGTCCTTTGTTTTGACCAGACCTTTATTCTGACCTAGTTCTTTGTTTTGACCAGACCTTTATTCTGACCTAGTCCTTTGTTTTGACCAGACCTTTATTCTGACCTAGTCCTATGTTTTGACCAGACCTTTATTCTGACCTACTTCTTTGTTTTGACCAGACCTTTATTCTGACCTAGTTCTTTGTTTTGACCAGACCTTTATTCTGACGTAGTTCTTTGTTTTGACCAGGCTTTTATTCTGACCTAGTTCTTTGTTTTGACCAGACCTTTATTCTGACCTAGTCCTTTGTTTTGACCTGGTCCTTGACCTTTGTTTTGACCTGGTTCTCGACCTTTGTTTTGACCTGGTTCTCGACCTTTGTTTTGATCTTTGCTTTGATTTCTCTTCGTCTGTTCTATATCTCAATCTTCGCTTAAATGTGAATTACTTTACAGATTTCCTAGAAGGAATGGTAAGCAATATACTCTGCGGTAGCATTCAGGGGCCAAGAGCTAGATTTTGACAGTAAAGGGAGAACGCAGGCCCACTCGAACTGCAGGGGTACACGCCCGTAAAGTTAGTAGGACTTAGTGGAGAGTGAACTTTGCTGATTGAAGGAGAGAGAGAGGTAGACACTGACTCTAATTCTGTCTGTCTGTCTGTCTGTCTGTCTGTCTGTCTGTCTGTCTGTCTGTCTGTCTGTCTGTCTGTCTGTCTGTCTGTCTTTCTGTCTGTCTGTTTCTGGAGATATATTTAAGGCCTTCTACTATCTCTTTTTTTCCATGAGCTCTATATGCAATACTACCACCACCACCACCACCACTACTACTACTACTACTACTACTACTACTACTACTATCACTGCTTTTACCCATACAACTGATTTTAACACTGTTACTACAGTACTGGAACCACTATACGTGTTGTTGTATTTGCTACTACTGATAATGCTGATTGCACTGCTGTTGCTGATTCTGCTGATGTTGCTGCTGCTGCAGTTTCTCGTACTCCTACAAGCATTACCACTCCTACTAGCACCATTATCCTGTCTGAGCCACAATACAGTGCTGCACCGGGGTCAGGGTGTTGAGAAAGGCTTCGAATCTTCTCTGCTCACTCAACCAAGGCTTCGCCAGGCAATTACTCAGCGTGGATATCGCGATCTGGGCAGCCTCTAGGCTCAGATAAATCCCTGTCATCCATCAGCACTACTGAACGTGGGAAAGAAAGTTGCTTTTCCGCCTATCCATCACTTTCCACGGTGGCCAGGAGATCTCACTAGCTTCCTCACCATTTTGTGTCATGCAGTCAGAGTTAGGTAAAGTAAGATTGGTCAGGAAACAAGGACAAGTGTTCCTTGACACAGGTTTTAGTCGTATGATGGCCCTCCACTGGTGCTTTTTCCCGAAGTTCTCTACATAACCATTACGGTGAGCATTTACAAAGTGACTTTGTAAATGGTCAAAGTCGGACCGAAACATCGTCGTAAGCTCCTCTCTTCTATGTGCGGGTTATTTGTGTATCGTTCCAGTCACGGAATTGTTCCATTTTTTGTTATTTAAAACCATGGCATTTCTGCATGCATAACCAAATGTCACCATCTTTGTGCATTGTATAACGTGAAATAATCTTTGATTTGATTTGACTGAGACCTTCCACTGGCTTACCATTCCACCTTTTAAAAATAATATTTTTCCTAAATTAAATAGCCAGTACTATGAAGGGTTTCTCACATGCCATTTAATTTTGGATACCCCTTTTCAACTGCCTTTATAAAAAATCTTACAATGTTGAGGAGTTTCATACATTACCTTTACCTTACCTTTGATGAGTTCCGAGAGTGCTTCTACTCCCAGAGACCGGCCAGGGGCCAGGCTCGTCTGGTGCTATCCTGGTCAACCAGGCTAAATAGCACAAATTAAGTACACGGGAGTATATGGGGAAGACAGATAGCAGAAGACTTAAAAATACACACCGACAACTATCTACTTCTCTCTAGATTGTGGATACTCTAGTATTTTCTAGGTGTCTGATACAGTGTGCTGATAGTCAGAAAACAGCGGCTCAAGTTACAGAAGAAACAGTGTTTGGGAGAACGTTTCGCTCTGTTTCACTCTCTATAGAGCGTTATCATGTGTGGAGCCTTATCAAGTTTTGTTCCGCTCTACGTAAAGCTGTATCAGTTCACTTCTGCTCTGTGTAGAGCTTTATCAAGTCATGTTCGGCTCTGTGAAGAACATTATCAAGTTATGTTTCGCTCTGTGTAGAGCTTTATGAAGTCACGTTTTGCTCTGAGTTGACAAGACGAAAGCTTTTTCAAGTCCTCTATCGCTCTTTGTAGAGCTTCATCAAGTCCTGTTTGGTCTGTGTTAAACATTATCAAGTCACACCTCACTCTTTTAAGAGCTTGATTAAGTCCTAGTTATTATCTAAGTTAGTTTACACTGTTTGTGATACCATCCTGTACACGGCAGTTACACTGTGATACCATCCTGTACACGGTAGTTACACTGTTTGTGATACTCCTGTACACGCAGTTACACTGTTGTGAACCACATGACACGTATTACACTGTTTGTGATACCATCCTGTACACGGTAGTTACACTGTTTGTGATACCATCATGTACACGGTAGTTACACTGTTTGTGATACCATCATGTACACGGTAGTTACACTGTTTGTGATACCATCATGTACACGGCAGTTACACTGTTTGTGATACCATCATGTACACGGCAGTTACACTGTTTGTGATACCATCATGTACACGGCAGTTACACTGTGATACCATCATGTACACGGCAGTTACACTGTTTGTGATACCATCCTGTACACGGCAGTTACACTGTTTGTGATACCATCCTGTACACGGTAGTTACACTGTTTGTAATACCATCCTGTACACGGCAGTTACACTGTGATACCATCCTGTACACGATAGTTACACTGTTTGTGATACCATCCTGTACACGGATGGTATCACAAACTATATTTCCCCTCGTATTTCATCACACATTATGAGATTCCCACATTAGGGGGGATGGTTGCAGACTTCACCCCTTTGTTTTCCCCTCCTGTGATACAGAAAGGGAAGCGAATTTACCAATTCTGTGTACCTATATAGTCCTAAAATGCCTCTGTGCTCACTCCAATGCTGATTACTTTTACCAGTTTTATTTTTTATCGTCTCTCTCTCTTTATCTATCTGTCTATCTATCTCTCTCTTTCTATCTCTCTCTTTCTATCTCATTCTATTTATTTCGTACTACCAAACTGATCAAAATCTGATGCTCCTTCGTTGTTGATCGCTTTCTTAAACCTCTTCACTGGCCTCAAATGCGATCCAATCTTCTTTCCACTTGATTCAGTCCTCAGAAGGACCTGAGGAGGACCTCGGAGTGATTTCAAAAAGACCGTACTCTTTTTTTACGATGTTGAATTTACCGACTAATAACTTTTATCCCACCTCAACTCATTTACAGACCAGGAGGTGTTTTTATGGCTTAACTGTGAATTGTTGCAGGGACGGTATTGTGGATTTGTTGTGTATTGTTATGGATAAGGTATTGTGGGTCAGTTGTGAATTGTTCTTCTCGTTACTGTGTTTTATATTCATCTTTATACCGGATGTCTGAGTGTGTGTGTGTGTGTGTGTGTGTGTGTGTGTGTGTGTTTGTGTGTGTGGATAAGGCTCTGCTGGTGACAGGGATAGACTGAGTGGGTGACAGTTTCTGGAGTTTGGTAGTCACCTAGGTGACGCAGTGTCTGAGTGGCTCAAGTTTGGAACCTGAGTGGGTGAAACCTGATGGGCATTAGAGACCTGAGTGTGCCATTATCGGAGCGACTTATACCAGCAAACAGTCTTCTAAGAAGCAAACAGTTCATTATTAAGCTGACAGTTTACTAACCAACTAACAACTTACTAACAAAGAAACAACCCATCAGGGCTAATGAATTGTACCAATCCCCCATTCCTTGAGTCGACCTTCGCCACCCATTTCTCAAGTTGTGTAACCCCTGTCACTTTTGTATTCTCCTTGAATACAATAATAATAATAATAATAATAATAATAATAATAATAATAATAATAATAATAATAATAATAATAATAATCATAATAATAATAATAATAATAACTAATAATAATAATAATTATCATAATAATAACAAATAATAATAATAATAATAATAATAATAATAATATTATTATTATTATTATTATTATTATTATTATTATTATTATTATTATTATTATTATTATTAATAGCAATAATGACAACAATAATAATTAATAATAATAATATTAATAATAATAATAATAATAATAATAATAATAATAATAATAATAATAATAATAAAGTAATAATAATAATAATAATAATAATAATAATAATAATAATAATAATAATATTAATAATAATAATAATAATAATAATAATAATAATAATAATAATAATAATAATAATAATAATAATAATAATAAAGCCTTGGTACCCACAGCTTGCAAGCAGATAACCTTCGGAGTCCAGGCAATGTTTGGACCGTTCGATCCTCTCCTTGGATCACATATCCAGTCCATCACTGACGCTCTGGATATCCCACATCTGGAGGCCAGGATGGACATAGAGCCTCAGGAGAAAGAGTTCAGTATTAATCTCTTCCCCTCACACATCTTCCTCAACCAGGCCTACAAGGACATGATCCAGTTTCTGAAGTGGAAGAAAGTGGCCATCGTCTACGAGGAGGATTTCGGTAGGTGGTTGTAGTAGATAGTGGTAGGTGGTGATAGTAGATTGTGGTAGGTGGTTGTAGGTGGTAGTGGTAGGTGGTAGTAGTAGATAATGGTAGGTGGTTGTAGTAGATAGTGGTAGTAGATAGTGGTAGGTGGTTGTAGTAGGTAATGGTAGGTGGTTTTAGTAGATAGTGGTAGATGGTTGTAGTAGATAATGGTAGATTGTGGTAGTAGATTGTGGTAGGTGGTTGTAGTAGATAGTGGTAGGTGGTTGTAGTAGGTAGTTGTAGGTGGTTTTAGTAGACAGTGGTAGGTGGTTGTAGCAGATAGTGGTAGGTGGTTGTAGTAGATAATGGCAGGTGGTTGTAGTAGATAGTGGTAGTAGACAGTGGTAGGTGGTTGTAGTAGATAGTGGTAGATGGTGGTAGTAGATAATGGTAGGTGGTTGTAGTAGATAGTGGTAGGTGGTGGTAGTAGATAGTGGTAGGTGGTTTTAGTAGATAGTGGTAGATGGTTGTAGTAGATAATGGTGGATTGTGGTAGCAGATTGTGGTAGGTGGTTGTAGTAGATAGTGGTAGGTGGTTGTAGTAGGTAGTTGTAGGTGGTTTTAGTAGATAGTGGTAGGTGGTTGTAGTAGATAGTGGTAGGTGGTGGTAGTAGATAATGGTAGATGGTGGTAGTAGATAGTGGTAGGTGGTTGTAGTAGATAGTGATAGGTGGTGGTAGTAGATAGTGGTAGGGGGTTTGTAGTAGATAGTGTAGATGGTGGTAGTAGATAATGGTAGGTGGTTGTAGTAGATAGTGGTAGGTGGTTGTAGTAGATAGTGGTAGATGGTGGTAGTAGATACTGGTAGGTGGCTGTATAATATAGTGGTAGATGGTGGTAGCACTGTTGAAGAGGGTTGTTGTGTGGATGGTTGTGGGTTGTGGTGGTGTTGGTGGCTGGTGAGGTTAGTGGTAAACAACAACAAGGTACGATATCGACACTGGAACAATGTACAAATGGGTGAACAACAACAAGGTACAATATCGACACTGGAACAATACACAAACAACCTACACATAGGAAAGAGAAAAGCTTACGACAACGTTTCGGTCCGACTTGAACCATTCAAGTCTGACCGAAACGTTGTCGTAAGCTTTTCTCTCCCCTATATGCGGGTTATTTGTGTATTAGTGGTAATATTATTTGCAAGTAGGTGGTGCTAGTTAGTGATAGTAAGCGGTTGCAGGTGGTAGTATTAGTGGTAGCTTGGTAGTGGTAGCATGGATGAAAGTGTTGGTAGCTTGGTAGTGGTAGCATGGATGAAGGTGATGGTAGCTTGGTAGTGGTAGCATGGATGAAGGTGATGGTAGCTTGGTAGTGGTAGCATGGATGAAGGTGATGGTAGCTTGGTATGGTAGCATGATGAAAGTGTTGGTAGCTTGGTAGTGGTAGCATGGATGAAGGTGATGGTAGCTTGGTAGTGGTAGCATGGTGAAGGTGATGGTAGCTTGGTAGTGGTAGCATGGATGAAGGTGATGGTAGCTTGGTAGTGGTAGCATGGATGAAGGTGATGGTAGCTTGGTAGTGGTAGCATGGATGAAAGTGTTGGTAGCTTGGTAGTGGTAGCATGGATGAAAGTGTTGGTAGCTTGGTAGTGGTAGCATGGATGAAGGTGCTTGGTAGCTTGGTAGTGGTAGCATGGATGAAAGTGTTGGTATGTTGGTAGTGGTAGCATGGATGAAGGTGTTGGTAGCTTGGTAGTGGTAGCATGGATGAAGGTGTTGGTAGGTTGGTAGTGGTAGCATGGATGAAAGTGTTGGTAGCTTGGTAGTGGTAGCATGGATGAAAGTGTTGGTAGCTTGGTAGTGGTAGCATGGATGAAGGTATTGGTAGCTTGGAAGTGGTAGCATGGATGAAGGTGTTGGTAGGTTGGTAGTGGTAGCATGGATGAAGGTGTTGGCATCTTGGTAGTGGTAGCATGGATGGTGTTGGTAGCTTGGTAGTGGTAGCATGGATGGTGTTAGTAGCTTGGTAGTGGTAACATGGATGAAGGTGTTGGTAGGTTGGTAGTGGTAGCATGGATGAAGGTGTTGGTGCTTGGTAGGGTACATGGATGAAGGTGTTTGGTAGCTTGGTAGTGGTAACATGGATGAAGGTGTTGGTAGCTTGGTAGGGGTAACATGGATGAAGGTGTTGGTAGCTTGGTAGTGGTAACATGGATGAAGGTGTTGGTAGCTTGGTAGTGGTAACATGGATGGTGTTGGTAGCTTGGTAGTGGTAGCATGGATGAAGGTGTTGGTAGCTTGGTAGTGGTAGCATGGATGAAGGTATTGGTAGCTTGGTAGTGGTAGCATGGATGGTGTTGGTAGCTTGGTAGTGGTAGCATGGATGGTGTTGGTAGCTTGGTAGTGGTAGCATGGATGAAGGTGTTGGTAGCTTGGTAGTGGTAGCATGGATGAAGGTATTGGTAGCTTGGTAGTGGTAGCATGGAGTGAAGGTACTTGGTTAGCTTGGTTATGGTAGTGGTAGCATGGATGAAGGTGTTGGTAGCTTGGTAGTGGTAACATGGATGAAGGTATTGGTAGCTTTGGTAGTGGTAGCATGATGAAGGTATTGGTAGCTTGGTAGTGGTAGCATGGATGAAGGTATTGGTAGCTTGGTAGTGGTAGCATGGATGAAGGTATTGGTAGCTTGGTAGTGGTAGCATGGATGAAGGTATTGGTAGCTTGGTAGTGGTAGCATGGATGGTGTTGACTCTGCAGAGGCTGCAGTAGTTGAGGGTGTTGATGTGTACCTTTGCCTCTTGCAGTTTTAGAGGTACAGCCACTGTACCTCTTGTAGCTTTAGAGGTACAATAACTCTACCTCTTGTAGTTTTAGAGGTACAGCCACTCTGCCTATTGTAGTTTTAGAGGTACAATAACTCTACCTCTTGTAGTTTTAGAGGTACAGCCACTCTGCCTATTGTAGTTTTAGAGGTACAATAACTCTACCTCTTGTAGTTTTAGAGGTACAATCACTGTACCTCTTGTAGCTTTAGAGGTACAGCCACTCTGCCTCTTGCAGTTTGAGAGGTACAGCCACTGTACCTCTTGTGGTTTTAGAGGTACAGCCACTGTACCTCTTGTAGCTTTAGAGGTACAGCCACTCTGCCTCTTGCAGTTTGAGAGGTACAGCCACTGTACCTCTTGTGGTTTTAGAGGTACAGCCACTCTGCCTCTTGCAGTTTGAGAGGTACAGCCACTGTACCTCTTGTGGTTTTAGAGGTACAGTCACTCTGTATCTTGTGGTTTCGAGATACAGGCACTGTACTCTTTCCAAACATTGATATACAGGATGCAAATGAGACACAGTTACATAACCCAGTCACTGAGAAACATCTAGTTACTCTCTTTATCTCCCACAGGTCTCATGAAGTTACAGGAGATAATTCGGTCTCCGCCGAGTAAAAACGTCGAGATGTACATCAGACAAGGACATCCGGACAACTACAGGGACATCCTGAAGGAAGTCAAACACAAGGAAATCTTTAGTATTATCGTTGATACCTTACCCAGGAACATGCGTCTCTTCTTGCGTTGTGTAAGTTATTATTATTATTATTATTATTATTATTATTATTATTATTATTATTATTATTATTATTTTTATTTTTATTTTGATTATTTTTATTATTATTGTTATTACCATTATTATATTATCATTATTTACATGTGTTATTATTATAATTATTATTATTATTATTATTATTATTATTATTATTATTATTATTATTTTATTATTATTATTTTATTATTATTAATAATATTATTATTATTATTAGTAGTAGTAGTAACATAATTATTTAAATTATAGGGGAGCGCTAAATCCGTAAGAGGGAGAATATTAGATAATAAGACTCGATCTGCAAAGCACCATAGATAGTGAGAGTTGATGTTTCTCTCTCTATTTACAGTTGATGTTTCTCTCTCTATTTACAGTTGATGTTTCTCTCTCTATTTACAGTTGATGTTTCTCTCTCTATTTACAGTTGATGTTTCTCTCTCTATTTACAGTTGATGTTTCTCTCTCTATTTACAGTTGATGTTTCTCTCTCTATTTACAGTTGATGTTTCTCTCTCTATTTACAGTTGATGTTTCTCTCTCTATTTACAGTTGATGTTTCTCTCTCTATTTACAGTTGATGTTTCTCTATTTACAGTTGATGTTTCTCTCTCTATTTACAGTTGATGTTTCTCTCTCTATTTACAGTTGATGTTTCTCTCTCTATTTACAGTTGATGTTTCTCTCTCTATTTACAGTTGATGTTTCTCTCTCTATTTACAGTTGATGTTTCTCTCTCTATTTACAGTTGATGTTTCTCTCTCTATTTACAGTTGATGTTTCTCTCTCTATTTACAGTTGATGTTTCTCTCTCTATTTACAGTTGATGTTTCTCTCTCTATTTACAGTTGATGTTTCTCTCTCTATTTACAGTTGATGTTCTCTCTCTATTACAGTTGATGTTTCTTCTCTATTTACAGTTGATGTTTCTCTCTCTATTTACAGTTGATGTTTCTCTCTCTATTTACAGTTGATGTTTCTCTCTCTATTTACAGTTGATGTTTCTCTCTCTATTTACAGTTGCTTCAGCTACAAATGAATGACTACCGATATCACTACCTCTTCACTACCTTCGTGAGTACCGTCTTGTTCCTCCTGACGCGGGTCTCAGTCATATGACGACCCACACCTGGAGTTTTTGGTCATCTGACCGAGGCCTTCCACTGGCTTACCCTTCTACCCCTTTAAAAACCATTATCATGATTATAACTATTTTGGATGAATATTATTATTATTAATGTGGATAATTGTAAGTGAACAATATTTAGAAAAAAGTAAGGAAAATAGAGTTGCAACTACGGATTTAGAGAAACTTTATAACCGGGTTGATAGGAATGCAATGTTGCAGATGTTGAAAATGTATGGCATAGGTGGTAGGTTGTGAGAAGTAATGAAGGGTTTTTAATGTGGATAATAAGACTCAGGGATGGGGGGTATGCTGTAGGAAAGGGGACGTTCCCAGTAAAAGTAGGCCTAAGATAGGGATGTATTATGTCACCATGGCTGTATGATGTTACCATGGCTGTATGATGTCACCATAGCTGTATGATGTCACCATGGATGTATGATGTCACCATAGCTGTATGATGTCACCATGGATGTATGATGTCACCATGGCTGTATGATGTCACCATGACTGTACGATGTCAACATGGATGTATGATGTCAACATGGATGTATGATATCACCATGGCTGTATGATGTCAACATGGATGTATGATGTCACCATGGCTGTATGATGTCACCATGGATGTATGATGTCACCATGGCTGTATGATGTCACCATGGATGTATGATGTCACCATGGCTGTATGATGTCACCATGACTGTACGATGTCAACATGAATGTATGATGTCAACATGGATGTATGATGTCACCATGGCTGTATGATGTCACCATGGCTGTATGATGTCACCATGGATGTATGATGTCACCATGGTTATATGATGTCGCCATGGCTGTTTTACGTTCTTATAGATGGGGTCGTCAAAGAAGTCAATGCTGGGGTGTTGGGGAGATTTAAGGACTACGAACGTGATAGATAATGGAACTTAGTACGATTGCTCTTTGCTGATGATGCGGTGCTTTTGGGAGAGTGTGAAGAGAAGTTGCAATGGTTGGTGGACGACTTTGGAAGGGTATATAAAAGAAGGAAATTAATTGCGAGCATACCTGGAATATACATGGAGAGGATTTTGGGGGGATCAGCGCCCCCACGGCCCGGTCTATGACCAGCACTGGAAAGATCGTGATGATAAGATTAATATCAATCCAGAAGTGGAAAGATTAGATATTTTGCTAGAGGAGAAAAGTATGGAGGAGGTATTTAGATATCTGTTAGCGGACTTGTCGATGGATAGGTCTATGAAAAATGAGGTAAAGCATAGAACTGGAAAGAGATGAAAAGGTGGATGGTGCATTGAGGTATCCTTCAAGAAAAACGTATCTATGGAAACAAAAAAGGAATGTAACCAGACTATAATAATAGCGACGCTGTTATTATAGTCTGGTTACATGGTTATATAGGTTACATGGGTCTGAAACATGGGTTTTAAACGTTGCAGTAATAATCATTTTCTAAATGACTCGACTTGAAATTTCTTGCTCACAGGACATTGAGACGTTCGATCTTGAAGACTTTAAGTACAACTATGTTAATATGACGGCCTTCAGGATAGTGGACACCAGTAACTCGCACGTTCGGAAGATCCTTCACGATATGGAGAAGTTCCAGCCTTTCGGTCATTCCATTCTTAACAAGTCTTCCATTATCAAGGTAAGATGCTTAATGAGACACATGTAAAATACTTGGGTATCTTCATTATTGAAGAGTTTCGCCTGCAGGATGGGTTTCTTCAGTCGGATACAGAGGTGAATAAAATAGGGGACAGCAGTGGTGGAGGTAAATGTGATGTGATCAGTCTATTGATCTTGATAGGGTAGTTTTGAGGTGATCAGTCCCTCGGTTTTGAAAAATGGTCAGCTCTAGGGCCCTGAGGATATAGGTGTGTGTGTGTGTGTGTGTGTACTCACCTAGTTGTACTCACCTAGTTGAGGTTGCGGGGGTCGAGTCCGAGCTCCTGGCCCCGCCTCTTCACTGATCGCTACTAGGTCACTCTCCCTGAGCCGTGAGCTTTATCATACCTCTGCTTAAAGCTATGTATGGATCCTGCCTCCACTACATCGCTTCCCAAACTATTCCACTTACTGACTACTCTGTGGCTGAAGAAATACTTCCTAACATCCCTGTGATTCATCTGTGTCTTCAGCTTCCAACTGTGTCCCCTTGTTACTGTGTCCAATCTCTGGAACATCCTGTGTGTGTGTGTGTGTGTGTGTGTGTGTGTGTGTGTGTGTGTTATGGTTCATCATCTTATCTAAATCTATATTCAATAACCAATGACTAATCATCTTACCCTGATGGATTTTCCAAAACTTAATTAATGACTTCCCCAAACCCAATTACTTTTTTTTGTCAAAAAATGAGCTAATCTGTATATCAAAATTTAGCGCACAATGGGATGGCCTTAACGAAGACAAACACCATCCATTCTCCAGTACTCTGAAAATGATAACTAGACTATTCCTTACATATGAATCTTCATCAGGCATTTTATCATTAAATTTCAAATGACTTTCAACATTCCTGGATTTTTCTATTCACTTATTTTTTGAGTATCTCCCTCACGATGACTTCTCCATTAATCTAAAGTATCTCTAATTCTTCAGGATGAATTCAAAACAATTCTGAAGCCACTAATTTAGAAGTATCTCTATTATTTGTATCACTGTTTAGGTAAAAACCCCATGACCGTCCCTACCAACACCCCCCTACCATTAAAACCAATACAAAAGCCACCATTACCACCATCAACCCAGAGTCAGCAATACATCCGCTAAGAGAGAAATTTTTTCATTAATAGCCTACAACAAACTGGTTTTAGTCCAACAGGTTTTTTATACACTTCATACCCACCCGTTTAGGCAGCCCTCAAAAGATTACAGTCATACATAATGGGGTCCAGGAGCTGTTGTCTCATGGAATGATGGCTAAGTAAATTACAGTAGTAATCAACTACTTACAAGCTTCTCATCTGGTTACAGTAACCTTGAATTTAACACTTCCTCATGAATATAATAATAATAATCTTTAGACCCCATTAACCAACCATCAAATTCTACTTCCACTACTAATGCTAGTAATAATAACAGCAACTTATAATAATATATGGCTGTGTCACTTTCACTAGGCAGAACCAGCCCTCATCTATGACAGCGTCAACGTGTTCGCTAAGGGTCTTCACGCTCTGGAGCGCTCCGCCACTCTCAGTCTAGCCAACCTCTCCTGTGAGAACGAGAAGCCCTGGGGAGACGGATCTTCACTCTTCAACTACATCAATGCCGTCAGTACCTCCCGTGTGTGTTCCGTAGTTTTTTTTTTTTTTTTGGCTACATCAGTGTCGTCAGTACCTTCCGTGTGTGTGTTCAGCAGTGTTTTTTTCCAATTACATCAGAGCTGTCAGTGCCTCCTGTGTGTGTGTTCAGTAGCATTTTTTCCCAACTACGTACATCATTAAATAACATCATTAAGTACGTACATCATTGCCATCAGTACCTCTCGTGTATGTGTTCAGTAGTTTTTTCTTCCCGAAGGATAGATCCATCCCTGTACGTATCCTTTACATGGTCGGAGTTTAATCCCTATTTTTAGGGATTATAATATTCTTGATTGGTGGTGAACAGGTGACACGCAGTCTTAATGGCTCTTGTGTAGTCGAGAGGCTTTAAACCCTATTATCTATCCAGGAGAAATGACTTACCTATAAACTCCGTTAAAGAGTACATAAATCTTCCAATGTTTATTTTACACTAAATTTCATTATTCATATATTCACGGGAAAGCTCTAAATTAGTAGGGGTCCAGCAGAGCTTGGGGAGTGGAAGGTTATCAAGGGTGGTCCTCAGAAGGAAGGGGTAACTCTGATTCTTTATATCAACAACTCTTAACTCGACTTGGTTAATGGAGGAACGTCACTCGAGTTTTTTTTATAATTACGAATGTTATACACAATAATCAGCAGTATATATATACTGGCTCCCTCACTCTTTTGTGTTAGTGTGACTTTGTAAATGGTCCAGGTTGGACCGATACTTCGTCGTAAGCTTCTCTCTCCTGTGTACGGATTATTTGTGTATTCCAGTCACGGTATTGTGCCTTATTGTTTTTTATGAATGGTATTTAATACCATTAAGATGATGGATGGTGTTTTGTTTATCAACTCTTGGATTGGTTTAGGCACTGAGAGCTTTGTTTCTGTCACTTATGCTGTGCCTGGGTCGTTATGGCACCGCTTACCCGTGGTTCTATTGTCCCGTGATGAGCAAGATGGCACTGTGATAGATGGGTTAGTGGGTAGAGAGGGCTCGGAAGCAGGATGGAAGGGGACATAATGTTGGAGAAGGGTTAAAGATGGTGCTGGAGGTGGTGTTGGGGACAAACGAAAGTAATGTTCATGGAATTCTTCTGAAGGAAGCAGAAAAAATGGTAGCTACTTGGAGGCCATCGACCACCTCCAAGGCAGACTGCAGTACGACATCAGAAGTGCAGGACACCAAGATAAATGGCTGTAAAAAGGCCTTGTCTGAATATGAAAACGGGCTGCCTCACCAGCATTTTAAATTCCTAGGCTAAAATATTCACCCAAAAAAATAAGCAGAGGTCTCTCCTTGGGTTGTTATGTCAACCCCAGCTAGAAAGGACTGCTGTTCAGGTCACTTAGTTGTGGGTGTATTATTATTATGTAGGGCATGACTTGTCAACAAGCCATACCCTACGTAATACTGATACACTTTACGATAGGTACAGAGAGTTGTTTCTCAGAGACCTTATCATTGTATCTGAGTGTTGAGAACTAGATTTGTGCAACCAGACTATTGTCTGTAAAAGCCTTAGTATTGACGTCTGAGGTCTCTTGTTGAACCTCTTCGAATCTAGTCCTCCAACCGCTAATCGCATGACAGGCTTTAAAACCGCAGAGGGAGATAATCAGGTTTGACCCGAGGAAGGGAAGCATAGTGCTAGTTACTCTGGATCAGGAGCCCATTACTTGATGAGGAGGAAGAGAGAGTAAGAGAAGATTACAGGAGAGGGAGGGTAAGGAAAAGCTTTCTTCATCTCCTCGCAGATGAAACAGTTTCCAGCTTCCAGCTTCTGAGAAACAGTAAATCCTTCATTACATTAATGGAGATAAATGGTATAAAATACCAACACGATGGAAAAATGTACATAAATGAGAGCCTTCAGTGACTACTTTTCGCCCACTCAGTGGGCTTTATCAAGTCACAAACAGATGTTGTACAAGAAGGATATACATTACCGACAAGATAAAAATTAAGACACATGTGCAACATCTGGGTATCTTTACTGAAGACGTTTCGCCCTCCAGTGGCTTTATCAATACAAATTCTAGGACATAATTTGAAGACAGTAGAACTATGTACAAGAGATGAGGTAATCAGTCCCTCAGCCTTGGAGTTGGTGACAAAGACACATATGGAAGACTTAAACATCTTTATTGGCGCAACGTTTCACCCACACAGCACACATTGTTCGACTAATGAAGCCTGCTGAGCAGGCGAAACATGTCACCAGTAAAGATACCTAAGTGACTGACGAAATCGTAATGACACGATTGCAAACAAACCATACCACGGCGGGACTTGAACTCGCTGCTACACAAATGTGCCTCCTACACTGTCCCCACCGTTCACCACCATCACCAACACTACCACCATCACCACCAACCACCAACCATCAACCACCAACCACCAGCCAACCACACACGCCCCTAAGAGTCCAGAAGGTAGCATCCCGCCCTTGTACACCCACCCAGAGTATGAACGCCCTGAGGAGTCACTGCGACTCATTTCTGTCGTGCTGCGTCAGGAGGATGTGTGTCAACGTTTTATCGGAGGATGAGCCACCCACAAACACGCTATAAAGAACCGGAAGACACCACCACCAGCAAAAGCAAGAAACACTATGCTAATTAATAAGAATTTATAAAAAATACACATATTGCTGCTTTCAAACCCCATTCCATTTTCACAGAAATCTATTTTCCTTTTTTCTGTCATTTTCATAACAAAAATTTAACGTGCCCGAATAAGAAAATTTAGACTTAGTATTTCAATTTAAAATATAACTTTTATTTTTAATCACAAAAATCAATCTTCTATTTTGTTAGAAGAAATTTAAAGCTTCGTAATTTAGAACAGGACATTAAAGCTTCTGTAAATTTGAAACAGGACATTTAAAGCTTCTGTAATTTGAAACAGACATAAAAGCTTCTGTAATTTGAAACCACAGACATTAAAAGCTTCTGTAATTGAAACAGACATTACAAGCTCTGAATTTGAAACAGGACACTTTCTGTAATTAGAAACAGGAACAATAAACTTTTGCCCTTAGATAAAGACATATAAGCTTTACATTTGTTGGAACAAATATTAAGCTTCAGTGATTAAAACATTATATACATTCCCCACTATAATGCAAACCAGAAATTTCATATATACTAAACCAGACGTATAATAAACGTAAATATTCTATACGTTATTAATCGTAAAGTTGTTGTCGTTTATCATAATTAATTGATAAGTATAATTATATTTTACGCGTTTTTTCAGTGTTGGTAAAAGCCTAACTGATGAACGTTCAAGAAATAAGCTATGTTCGATTTTCAGATTTAATTTAAGTTTTTTATTTTTAATATCGAAAACAGTTGTATTTTTGTTAGAAGAAATTTAAAGCTTCTGTAATTTTGAAACAGGACATTTAAAGCTTTTGTGCCTTAGATAAAGACATTTTAAGCTTTACATTTTTGTTGGAACAAATATTAAGCTTTTCAGTGATTACCTATATACATTATATGCATTCCATATTTATTCTAAACCAGACGTTTCATATTTATTCTAAACCAGACGTTTAATAAACGTAAATATTCTCTCGTTTCTTTGTAAAGTTGTTCGTTTATCATTAATTAATTGATAAAGTAATTTCATTAAATTACGCGTACTTTATCAAGTGGTGGGTAAAGCCCACACTGAGCGAAACGTTGCAAGAATAAATGCTAGGTCAGTCTTTGCGTATTTCATTTATACGTTTTAAGTTTTCCTTCGGTAACGATGTTGTGAAAGCTCTCCCACTGTGCTGCCTTCCCTGATACACACCTCACTTACCATGCCTGCTGCCTTCCCTGATACACACCTCACTTACCATGTCTGCTGCCTTCCCTGATACACACCTCACTTACCATGCCTGCTGCCTTCCCTGATACACATCTCACTTACCATGCCTGCTGCCTTCCCTGATACACACCTCACTTACCATGCCAGCTGCCTTCCCTGATACACACCTCACTTACCATGCCAGCTGCCTTCCCTGATACACACCTCACTTACCATGCCAGCTGCCTTCCCTGATACACACCTCACTTGAACATTAAAATGGTATAAAATACCGACAGGTTGTTAGGTAAGACACATATGCAACAGTTAGGTATCTTTATTGTGAAACGTTTCGCCTACACAGTAGGCTTCTTCAGTCAAGTACAGGAAAGGTTGATAGAAGCAGAAGATACTTGAAGACGATGTAATCAGTCCATCACCCTTAAAGTTTTGAGGTGGTCAGTCCCTCAGTCTGGAGAAGAGCATTGTTCCATAGTATGAAACAATATGGAGAAGAAGTGACAGGATGGAGCTTTTATAGCGCCAAGAGGTGAGACGTAGGAGAGGTAAGAACTCAGATGTTGAGAGGTCCCTCTCAAATCCAGCCCCTCTCACTAGTGGAAGTTGCCGAAATTGATTGCAGGTCTGTACCAAGATACCCTTGTGTTGCAGTGTCTGACAGATTGAACATTAAAATGGTATAAAATACCGACAGGTTGTTAGGTAAGACACATATGCAACAGTTAGGTATCTTGGTACAGACCTGCAATCAATTTCGGCAACTTCCACTAGTGAGAGGGGCTGGATTTGAGAGGGACCTCTCAACATCTGAGTTCTTACCTCTCCTACGTCTCACCTCTTGGCGCTATAAAAGCTCCATCCTGTCACTTCTTCTCCATATTGTTTCATACTATGGAACAATGCTCTTCTCCAGACTGAGGGACTGACCACCTCAAAACTTTAAGGGTGATGGACTGATTACATCGTCTTCAAGTATCTTCTGCTTCTATCAACCTTTCCTGTACTTGACTGAAGAAGCCTACTGTGTAGGCGAAACGTTTCACAATAAAGATACCTAACTGTTGCATATGTGTCTTACCTCCCACACCTCACTTACCATGTCTGCTGCCTTCCCTGATACACACCTCACTTACCATGCCTGCTGCCTTCCCTGATACACATCTCACTTACCATGCCTGCTGCCTTCCCTGATACACACCTCACTTACCATGCCAGCTGCCTTCCCTGATACACATCTCACTTACCATGCCTGCTGCCTTCCCTGATACACACCTCACTTACCATGTCTGCTGCCTTCCCTGATACACACCTCACTTACCATGTCTGTTGCCTTCCCTGATACACACCTCACTTACCATGTCTGCTGCCTTCCCTGATACACACCTCACTTACCATGTCTGCTGCCTTCCCTGATACACACCTCACTTACCATGTCTGCTGCCTTCCCTGATACACACCTCACTTGCCATGCCTGCTGCCTTCCCTGATACACACCTCACTTACCATGCCTGCTGCCTTCCCTGATACACACCTCACTTACCATGTCTGCTGCCTTCCCTGATACACACCTCACTTACCATGTCTGCTGCCTTCCCTGATACACACCTCACTTACCATGCCTGCTGCCTTCCCTGATACACACCTCACTTACCATGTCTGCTGCCTTCCCTGATACACACCTCACTTACCATGCCTGCTGCCTTCCCTGATACACACCTCACTTACCATGCCTGCTGCCTTCCCTGATACACACCTCACTTACCGTGTCTGCTGCCTTCCCTGATACACACCTCACTTACCATGCCTGCTGCCTTCCCTGATACACACCTCACTTACCGTGTCTGCTGCCTTCCCTGATACACACCTCACTTACCATGCCTGCTGCCTTCCCTGATACACACCTCACTTACCATGTCTGCTGCCTTCCCTGATACACACCTCACTTACCATGCCTGCTGCCTTCCCTGATACACACCTCACTTACCATGCCTGCTGCCTTCCTGATACACACCTCACTTACCATGTCTGCTGCCTTCCCTGATACACACCTCACTTACCGTGTCTGCTGCCTTCCCTGATGCACACCTCACTTGCCATGCCTGCTGCCTTCCCTGATACACACCTCACTTACCATGTCTGCTGCCTTCCCTGATACACACCTCACTTACCATGCCTGCTGCCTTCCCTGATACACACCTCACTTACCATGCCTGCTGCCTTCCCTGATACACACCTCACTTACCATGCCAGCTGCCTTCCCTGATACACACCTCACTTACCATGCCTGCTGCCTTCCATGATACACACCTCACTTACCATGCCAGCTGCCTTCCCTGATACACACCTCACTTACCATGCCTGCTGCCTTCCCTGATACACACCTCACTTACCATGCCTGCTGCCTCTCCTGATACACACCTCACTTACCATGTCTGCTGCATTCCCTGATACACACCTCACTTACCATGCCTGCTGCCTTCCCTGATACACACCTCACTTTCCATGCCAGCTGCCTTCCCTGATACACACCTCACTTACCATGCCTGCTGCCTTCCCTGATACACACCTCACTTACCATGCCTGCTGCCTCTCCTGATACACACCTCACTTACCATGCCTGCTGCCTTCCCTGATACACACCTCACTTACCATGCCAGCTGCCTTCCCTGATACACACCTCACTTACCATGCCAGCTGCCTTCCCTGATACACACCTCACTTACCATGCCTGCTGCCTCTCCTGATACACACCTCACTTACCATGCCTGCTGCCTTCCCTGATACACACCTCACTTACCATGCCTGCTGCCTCTCCTGATACACACCTCACTTACCATGCCAGCTGCCTTCCCTGATACACACCTCACTTACCATGCCAGCTGCCTTCCCTGATAACCACCTCACTTACCATGCCAGCTGCCTTCCCTGATACACACCTCACTTACCATGCCTGCTGCCTTCCCTGATACACACCTCACTTACCATGCCAGCTGCCTTCCCTGATACACACCTCACTTACCATGCCTGCTGCCTTCCCTGATACACACCTCACTTACCATGCCTGCTGCCTTCCCTGATACACACCTCACTTACCATGCCAGCTGCCTTCCTGAAACACTGAGACTACCTCACAAAATCAGTCCAAATTCCCATCTTGCATTTATTTTCCATTTTCCTCATTACCTGCAAGAAATGGCCTCAAAAAGCCCCCCTTCTTCCGTCCTTTTAATCACCGTTTATGATAAGACAATAAGAACCATTTTAACTCACTTACGACAAAGAATTAGAATGGAAACAATACAGAAAAATAATGAATGTTAATATAGAGAGGAACGCTATGTGTAAAGTGAAATTAAATGGGAGATTTTAAGGCTTTTATCAGCTATCTAACATGGTATGTGTCTTACACACACACACACACACACACACACACACACACACACACACACACACACACACACACACACACACACACACACACACACACACACACACACATACCCACACACACACACACACACAACACACACACACACACACACACACACACACACACACACACACACACACACACACATAGCTTTAAGCAGAGGTATGATAAGGCTTATGGTTCATGGAGAGTGACCCAGTAGCGGCCAATGAAGAGGCGGGGCCAGGAGCTATGAATTGACCCCTGCAACCACAACTAGGTGAGTAAAACTAGGTGAGTACACATACACACATTATAAAGCATATTGTTACTGGAATACCATTTCCCCTTTTAAAGCTCAAAACAGGTATGATATGCTTTATAAAGCTCCACAAGGAGCCAAACGTTATCTCAATAAAAGCTTATACAGAAACGTGCATCTTCTTAGCTACTCTGAACAGTATAATATTTGGATCCCACGTCGCTGTTCTCCTTGTCTTATAAATTCTTGAAGGAGACGAGATTTAATTCCCTTTAAGGTGTTCAATCCTGTCAGCAGTTAAGTTTAGGCAGCAGAACTTGACACCGAGGGTTCTAATGCTGCTACTCATCATCATCATCATCATCATCATCATCATCATCATCATCATCATCATCATCATCATCATCATCATCATCATCATCATCATCATCATCATTCATATTATCATTATAATACACATACACATTCACTCATCATCATCATCAATCATCATCATCATATCATCATCATCATCAATCATATATCATCATTATCATCATCATATCATCATCATACACACCATCATAATCATTATCATTCATCATCATCATCATCATCATCATCATCATCACCATATCATCATCATCATCTTCTTTTTTTTTTTTATTATTATTATTATTATTATTATTATTATTATTATTATTATTTATAATTATTGTTATTTTATCATTATTTAATTTAAAAATAACATTTTATGTATATAAATAACTACTACTAATAATGAATTACATTAATAATTAATAATAATAATAATAATATTATTATTTATTATTATTATTATTATTATTGTGACTTTTTACTTTGGTGCTGTTGCCAGGTAGAGTACGACGGCCTCACTGGACCTATCAAGTTTACTGAAGGCAAGAGAAGTAACTTTAAGTTGGACATACTGAAGCTGAGAAATGAGGAACTTATTAAGGTAAGTTTGTGTGTGTGTGTGTTGTGTGTGTGTGTGTGTGTGTGTGTGTGTGTGTGTACTCACCTAATTGTACTCACCTAATTGTGGTTGCAGGGGTCAAGACTCAGCTCCTGGCCCCGCCTCTTCACTGATCGCTACTGGGTCCTCTCTCTCTCTGCTTCCTGAGCTTTGTCATACCTCTTCTTAAAACTATGTATGGTTCCTGCCTCCACTACTTCACTTGCTAGGCTATTCCACTTGCTGACAACTCTATGACTGAAGAAATACTTCCTAACGTCATTGTGACTCGTCTGAGTCTTCAGCTTCCAGTTGTGACCCCTTGTCCCTGTGTCCCCTCTCTGGAACATCCTATCTCTGTCCACCTTATCTATTCCCTGCAGTATCTTGTATGTCGTTATCATGTCTCCCCTGACCCTTCTGTCCTCCAGTGTCTTCAGTCCGATTTCCCTTAACCTTTCCTCGTACGACATTCCCTTGTGCTCTGGGACTAGCCTTGTTGCAAACCTTTGTACTTTCTCTAACTTCTTGACGTGCTTGACCAGGTGTGGGTTCCAGACTGATGCTGCATACTCCAGTATGGGCCTAACATACACAGTGTACAGTGTCTTGAACGATTCCTTATTAAGGTATCGGAACGCTATTCTCAGGTTTGCCAGGCGCCCGTATGCTGCAGCGGTTATTTAGTTGATGTGTGCCTCTGGTGATGTGCTCGGTGTTATGGTCACCCCAAGGTCTTTCTCCCTGAGTGAGGTCTGTAGTCTTTGTCCACCTAGCCTATACTCTGTCTGCGGTCTTCTTTGCCCCTCCCCAATCTTCATGACTTTGCATTTGGCTGGATTGAATTCGAGAAGCCAGTTGCTGGACCACATGTCCAGCCTGTCCAGGTCTCTTTGCAGTCCTGCCTCATCCTCGTTCGATTTAATTCTTCTCATCAACTTCACGTCATCTGCGAACAGGGACACTTCAGAGTCTATTCCTTCCATCATGTCGTTCACATATATCAAAAATAGCACTGGTCCTGGAACTGACCCCTGTGGGACCCCGCTCGTAACAGGCGCCCACTGTGATACCTTTTCACGTACCATGACTCGTTGCTGCCTCCCTGTCAGGTATTCCCTTATCCATTGCAGTGCCCTCCCTTTTACGTGCGCCTGATCCTCCAGCTTCTGCACTAGTCTCTTGTGGGGAACTGTGTCAAAGGCCTTCCTGCAGTCTAGGAAAACGCAATCTACCCACCCCTCTCTCTCGTGTCTTACTTCTGTTACCTTGTCATAAAACTCCAGGAGGTTTGTGTGTGTGTGTGAGTGTGTGTGTGTGTGTGAGAGAGTGTCTTGTGAGGTGTAATGACTGGCTGCAACTTCTTGTGACCTGACACAACCCTCCTGGGACTTGACCCTAGCACCATCTTACAATGTTGCCCTTAAAAGCTTGTCCCACCTACCTTCTCACACTCGTCAACACTATATTCTCTATGTCAATGCTATTTCTATTCCAATTCTGGTAATAGCTTGCAGGAGTGAGTGACCAGTATCAAACAGTATGCAAGGCCAGCCAGGGCCGTCAACATGCAAACCACAAATAGGCGAATAACTTGCGCTGCAATGGTGCGGTGACAGTTGCCAGCTGCTGATGACGAAGTCGTCGTACGTAGGCCTTAAATCCCTATTTTGGAGATCCTTCACCCGTGATGTTTATAACCATATATTCTCATACATCCCGCTTCCTCATGCGATTTCACTCTTCACTGATGATAGTATACACTTCACATTATATACACTTCACTTTATATGTATAATGGCACACAACTTGTCGTGACGTCACTTCTTCAGGCCTACCGCTGCCAATGTGGCAACAGCGCCTAAGACCCCCTAACGGTTTGCGCTTTGAAATATTATGATTTCAGCTTTCCTCTCACTTTCTTTAACTAATAACTTTAATTATCACTCGTAGTATTGTTCACTGACGTTCCACTACCACTGATTACTGCTAACTGTTATTGCACACCTTGCAACGCTAAGGATCTCGGAGCCTTGTTACCCACGTCTTCACCCCACGGACCCACGTGTGTGTGTGTGTGTGTGTGTGTGTGTGTTAAGTAACATACTCTTGTGTATTTATGGAAATAAACTAATAAATATTTCTGAAAAAAATATTACCTGTGTTCTTTGTTCTGAGACCTAATGTTTTATTTTCTCTCTCTCTTTCTTTCTCTCTCTCTCTCTCTCTCTCTCACTCACTTTCTTCTATTACCTCTTTCACTCTTTCTTCTCTCTCTTTGACTCCTCAACCATCATTATCCTGTTCCATTTCTCATGTCCATCCTCTCACCCCTTTTACTGCTTCACTTTCATGTCCGCTTTTCTCTGTCTTCTTTCCTTTGCTCCTTTCTCCCACCTACCTTTTTTTGCCTCTTTCATTTCTCCCTCCTTTATCTCTTTATTTCGTCTTTCCTTTTTTCCTTCTTGATTTCGTTCTACTCTTTTTTTTTCTTATCTGGTCTCTCTACTTTCTTCCCTTGTCTTCCTGTTTCTTTACTCCCTTCCTCTACCTCCTAGCCTTTGTCTTCCTCTCTTTCTCCCTTCCTCTACCTACTCCCTTTGTATTTCTCTCTTCCCTCCCTTAACCTCTCCTTTGTCTTCCCCTCTTCTCCCTTCCTCTACCTCCTCGCCTTTGTCTTCCTCTCTATCTTCTCCCTTCCTCTCACTCCTCCCTTCGTATTTCTCTCTTCCCTCCCTTAACCTCCCCCTTGTCTTCCCCTCTTCTCCCTTCCTTTCCCTCCTTGTCTTCATCTCCTTACCTCTTGTCTACTCCCCCTCTTTTCCTCTTGTCTTCCTCTCCTTCGTTACCTCTTGTCATCCTCTCCCTCGTTACCTCTTGTCTTCTCCTCCCTGTTTACATCTTTTCTTCCTCTCCCTCGTTACCTCTTGTCTCCCTCTCCTTCCTTACAACTTGTCTTCCTCTCCCTCTTTACCTCTTGTCTCCCTCTCCCCTCTTTACCTCTTGTCTTCCTCTCCCTCTGTACCTCTTGTCTTCCTCTCCCTCCTTACCACTTGTCTTCCTCTCCCTCTTTACCTCTTGTCTCCCTCTCCCTCTTTACCTCTTGTCTTCCTCTCCCTCTGTACCTCTTGTCTCCCTCTCCCTCTTTACCTCTTGTCTTCCTCTCCCTCTGTACCTCTTGTCTCCCTCTCCCTCTGTACCTCTTGTCTCCCTCTCCCTCTTTACCTCTTGTCTTCCTCTCCCTCTGTACCTCTTGTCTTCCTCTCCCTCCTTACCACTTGTCTCCCTCTCCCTCTTTACCTCTTGTCTTCCTCTCCCTCTGTACCTCTTGTCTCCCTCTCCCTCCTTACCACTTGTCTTCCCCTCCCTGCCACTAGGTGGGAGAGTGGACGCCGGAGCGTCAGATCAACATCACGGACAGACAAGCGTTCTTCGAGGGGGGACGTCCCAACATTACCCTGAAGATCATCACCATAGAGGTAAGTTGTGCCACCCTCTCACATCTCTCGTTACGTTACCCCTTCTATTATTACCTATTTCGATTACTCCCGTTTTCTAATATTCTCGTTTTCAATTATTACCGTTTCCTATTATTCCCGTTTTTTATTATTAGCGATTTTTAATTATCGCCATTTTCTGTTATTACCAATTTTCCATTATACCCATTCATTGTTTTTCCCATTATTCATTATTCACTTTTTTCATTATTCCCGTTTTTCATTATTCTCATTTTTCATTTTTCCCGTTTTTCATCATTCTCATTTTTCATTATTTCCATTTTCCATTATTCCCTTTTTCTTTTATTCTTGCATTATAGTCAGTTTTTCCACATTCCTTTTTCTACTGATTTTTCGCTCTACTCTGATTCCCATAATTCTTCAGTTCAACGGAATATTGTTGAATCATTTCTTATCAATCATTATAATATTATTAATAATAATCATAATATATTAATTTTTATTTCTTCAAGTAAATGCACAAAATTTTTCAAATTTGAGTTCTGGTATCTATAAACTTGACAATTTTATACTCCAGAATATTGTTGATAATATAAAGATTAAAATATTTTTTTATGGGAATATAATATTCTTTGTCTAGTGAATAATTTATGGTGTACGAATGTAGGTGTTGTCACCTGCGAGTGAGGTGTTGTCACCTGTGAGTGAGGTGTTGTCACCTGTGAGTGAGGTGTTGTCACCTGTGGGTGAGGTGTTGTCACCTGTGGGTGAGGTGTTGTCACCTGTGAGTGAGGTGTTGTCACCTGTGAGTGAGGTGTTGTCACCTGTGGGTGAGGTGTTGTCACCAGTGGGTGAGGTGTTGTCACCTGTGAGTGAGGTGTTGTCACCTTCCCTAAATGAGGTGTCACCTCAGTGTCCAACACTTAAAATGAGCAAGTCTTGCCCCTTCTTACTGCTCATCTGAAGATGTGTATGAAAGCACACGAAAGCTCTCTCTCTCTCTCTCTCTCTCTCTCTCTCTCTCTCTCTCTCTCTCTCTCTCTCTCCTCTCTCTCTCTCTCCTCTATCTATCTATCTATCAATATAAGGCTTACGGAGGAAGAATTCTTTTCTACTTCCCCATGTACGAAATAAACAAAGAACAAGAACTAGTAAGAAAATAGAATAAAACCCAGAGGGGTGTGTCACACCCCTTTGGGTGTGACACACCCCTCTACTTACACTTATGTCACACTCTACATGCATGTGTAATGTGACATAAGTGTAAGTGTAAGTACCAAGACGTACCTGAAATCTTGCATGTTTATGAGGCAGAAAAAACACTCCAGCAATGCTACCAGAAAAAAAATAATGTACTTAAAAAAAATGTGAGTGAAGACAAATAAAATAAATTTAAACAAAACAGTGAAAACGGACTAGGAAAAACAGACTGACCAATCACGCAATCGTCCGTGAAAATCCCACGTCCGTCCCCCCCCCCTTGAGAGGGGAATCCAATCATCCAGCAAAACATCCGAACTCACATATGAGGGGAAAAAATTCTGGTCTTGTTACATTTTCACTCCTCGTCTTTGTCATTTTCACTCCTCGTCTTTGTCATTTTCACTCCCAATCTCTGTCATTTTCACTCCTCGTTTCTGTCATTTTCCCTCCTCATCTCTGTCATTTTCACTTCTCGTCTCTGTCATTTTCACTCCTCGTCTGTCATTTTCATTCCTAGTCTCTTATCATTTTCTATCACTGTTTCTTATCATTTTCACTTATCTTTTTCATAGATTTTTCTGCCTTTTAAAATGCGGCTGACGAAGGTAAATACAAATAGAAAAGACGTTTATGTCACACTCAGCAGACGGAGGATCGAGCCTCCACCACACCACGTCTTGCAATGAATCACCCACATGGGTTTAGCGCCTAAAATAAAATAAAATGATTTAAAATGCTCTTTATAGAGCAAGATTTATTAAAATTTGCATATATATATATATATATATATATATATATATATATATATATATATATATATATATATATATATATATATATATATCTATATATATATATCTATATATATATATATATATATATATATATATATATATATATATATATATATATATATATATATATATATATACATATATATATATATATAGTGGGTAACACCCTTCGGCGCCTAGTCACCAAGGCTGCAGTAAGAAGGGTGAGTCAAGAGGCTGCCGCAATGTTGAAACCACCTCAGCTCGGTTTCGGCGTTCAACAGGGCTGTGAAGCAGCTGCCCAGCAGCACGAGTATATATCAAAAACATGTCCGGTGAAAGAGCCTTGGTCAAATTGGACTTTGTCAACGCTTTCAACTCAGTCAGAAGGGATGCTGCTCTTCAAGCAGTTTATAGAAACTTCCCTTCCTTTCATCCCTTCATAGAATCGTGTTATAGTGTGACTTCCAAACTATTGTTTGGGGACCATGAAATCGACTCATGTGAGGGCGTGCAACAGGGGGACCCTCTCGCCCCATTTCTATTCTGTTTGGTCATGAAGGAAGTCACAGAAGCACTCTCCAGTGAGCTCAATATCTGGTTCCTGGACGACGGTACCCTAGCTGGCACAACAGAATCTCTCCTGGTGGACATCAGTAAAATTAAAGACATGGGAGAAAGCCTGGGCCTTTCTTTAAACCCCACCAAACGTGAAATAGTTTCTACCAATCAACAAATGATCCAGAATATTAGCGCCGTTTTACCAGGAGCACGAGCCATTGATCCAGCCAATAGCACTCTCCTCGGTGCTCCTCTTGGGTCCAATGCCATCGAACTGATCCTAGAAAAAAAGTCTCAGACCTCCGGACGATGGAAAGCAGGATGAAAGACATGACACACACGATGCCTTCTACCTACTCACCAGGTGCCTGTCAACCCCAAAACTTACCTACTTTCTGAGATGGTCCCCAGCCTTCAGCAGTCCAAAACTCAAGGAATATGACTCTCTCCTTAAGACCATGCTAGAGAGTGTATTGAATCTTTCCCTTGAAGATGGACTGTGGTTGCAAGTTTGGAGGGCTAGGAGTACGCAGATTCTCTCTGATTGCTCTACCAGCTTTCCTATCCTCTTCCATAGCATCAAACGAGTTGATAAGACAAATTCTTCCTGATAACCTCAGTGAATCAGCAGGAATACAGGACCCTAGCTACGCCAGTGCCATCACTGAATGGGAGACTCTTGCTGCTCCAGCACCAAACCCTAGTGCAGCACTGGCCTACAAACAGTCAAGCTGGGATGGCTCGATCGCTGAAAAGGTGCTTGTCAACATGCTCAGGGCTGCAACATCAGATAGGGAGACTGCCCGTCTCCAGGCTGTGAGCGCACATCACTCCGGGGACTTACTCTAAACAGTTCCCATATCGACAATGGGAACGCGACTCGACCCTAAGACCCTCCGTATTGCAGTGGCTCTGCGCCTTGCTGCCCCGATTCACATAGATATACGTGTATCTGCACCGAAGCGCAAGCAGACCAATAGACCTACATGGTCTTAACTGTTCCAAAACCAAGGGCTGGCATGCAAGACACAATGAAGTCAACGACATCATAAAGAGAACCCTTGCAACAGCTGGATGCCCAGCTGAGAGGGAGCCCCGATCACTAGCAGCCAACAGTACCCACAAACCAGCAAACCGCCCCGACGGGATCACCATCTATCCTTGGAAGAATGGCAAGCTCTTAGCATGGGACTATACCTGTGTGTCCACACTGGCTGACACCTACATCCATCACAGTGTGGGGTGACAGGGAGGAGTACAAGATCAGCAAGTACAGAGACATAAGCCAACAGTATCGATTTGTCCCAGTGGGATCAGAGACCTGGGGATCATGGGGAAAAAATGTCACACGTTTCCTTAAAGAATTGGGCTCCAGACTCATCGACACTACCAGGGACCCAAGGGCAGCCACTTTCATGTTCCAGCGCCTCAGCGTCGCCATCCAGAGGGGAAATGCTTGCTGCATACTTGGCTCGCGTCCGGCTTCGGAGGAGCTGGAGGAAATTCATGATCTCTAATACATTGTACCAATGTATTCATGTTTGTGTTTTCTGTAAATGTATTCTGTTTATTAATAAATGTTCACATAGAATATAAAATATAGGGAGTGGTAGGAGAAGAAAATATTCGAACAGCTCCGGGGAGAACCTTGAGTTTTCCCTTAGGTACGTTTATTGTCTTCTCTGAGGATGAGGGTCCCCATTCCAGCTATAGAGGTGGTCACAGAGGCCTGGTCACAGACCGGGCCGCGGGGGCGTTGACCCCCGGAACTCTCTCCAGGTAAACTCCAGGTAAACTCCAGGTACTTCCCTATATATATATATATATATATATATATATATATATATATATATATATATATATATATATATATATATATATATATATATATATATATATATATATATATATTATATATATATATAATATATATTTAGGATTAATGTCTTTTTTAATTAAAAATAATTTCTATCAGCCTTTCTCATTAATATTTTTTGGGGCTCAGTATTTTTCATAAATTTGTATGTTTTTTTAGCTTCAAAATTTCGGTTTATTTGTATGGTATTTAATCAATATATTTTGATGATCATGAAATATTATCAATATTTCTGCTAATATGTTAATCAAGATTTTTGTGATCAATATATTTTCTGAAAAATATTTACTGCTTCGTTAAATATATTTCTTTTAGTTGTATTCTTACTGTCATTATTATTATTATTATATATTATTATTATTATTATTATTATTATTATTATTATTATTATTATTTATATTATTATTATTTTTATTTATAATATTATTATTATTATTTATAGTATTATTAGTAGTATTAAAATTATTATTTTTATTATTATATTATTATTATTATTATTATTATTATTATTATTATTATTATTATTATCATTATATTATTATATTATTAATATTATTATTTTATTATTATTATTATTATTATATATTATTAGTAGTATTAATATTATTATTATTATTATTATTATTATTATTATTATTATTATTTTTATTGTTGTCGTTATTATTATTGATTATTATTATTATTATTATTATTATTTTTTTACTCGACCTAAATGTCTACTTACAGAAGTAGGTTAAGTTTTCCTATCGACTGTGCTCGTCTAATCTCCCACCAATTCCTCTCCTTTCCTTCTTCTCCTACTCGTAATTTCCCTCCTTCAGGAGAACCCGTACGTGAAGATCCGCAGGCAGAAGAACCTTACCGGGAACTCCCGGTTCTACGGGTACTGTGTCGACCTGCTCGACCAGTTGGCTGGGATGGTTGGATTCAATTACGAAATCGAAATTCAACCTTCTGGGAGATACGGTTCTTATAACGAAACAACAGGAGAGTGGGATGGTCTGGTCAGAACCATTATGGAGAAGGTGATGGTTGGAAAGTGTGGTTGTAGTGGTGGTAGTGGTGGTAGTAGCTTGATTTTGACATTGTGTTAGTTGAGGTTGTGGCTGGTGCTGACGCTCGAGGTAGCTAGTAACGTAGGTTGGGTAGTGGTGCTAGTGGCTTGTGTTGTCGCTATTGGCAAGTGGTAAAGATGGTATTGGTTAGTGTTGGAGTTAATGCTAGTTGGCAGTGATGGTGTGATTGTTGCGTTAGTGTGCTAGTCTAGGCAGTTGGTAACGAAGATAGTGCGAGAACTGGAGGTTACAGTGACACAAGAGGTTATTATTGAGGAGAGTGACGGTAGACTCAGTTGTATTATTCGTTGATGATGATTTGTTTATATTGACGACAATGTAATGTAGCAGTGTGTTGTAGAAATGGCAAACCTGAAATGGCAAACCTGAAATGGCAAACCTGAAATGGCAAACCTGAAATGGCAAACCTGAAATGGCAAACCTGAAATGGCAGACCTGATTAAGAAAGCAGTTCTCGTAAATTGATTCAGATAAAACATGGATATACAAAAATAATCCTCAGATAGAAGAGAGAAACGTACAACGACGTTTCGGTCCGATTTCGACCATTTACAAGTCACATTAACATAAGAGGGCTTCTCTCTCCTACGTAAGAGGCATTTGTGTATTGCTCCAGTCACTGTATTGAGCCTTATTGTTCAAAATGTGGAGAGAAATCCACCAGGATGGTTCACCTGTCTCTAATTTTTACTATAAATATTTGACCTCCTGTAACACACCTCCTTTCTCACTTCTCTAATGAGACTGATAATCTCCGCTATCTGCTTTTCTAACCTTAATTCATGCACAACATATACGATAATCCTTAATCTCGATATAGGTACAGGAGGGCCCCAGCTTAACAGCGCTTCATTTTACAGCTCCTCGCTTTACATCGTTTCGCTAATGCGGCGGTTTCATTTACAGCCATTCTTCATTTATTAAGATATAATGCATTTTTCAGGGTTAGCTCTATTGCTTTATATATGATAGCATAAATATGTTATCAAGTGGTTAGTTCCTCAGCTAAAGGACTGATCCTCTCAAAGCTATATGTTCAAGGGTGATGGACCGATTACATCGTCTTAACATCTCTACTTCTTCTGTTGACTCCTCTATATTTGACTGAAGAAGCCTACTGTGTAGGCGGAACGTTTTAGAATGATAATACCTAACTATTGTACATGATACCTGTCGGTAAGTTATACTTAATTATTACCTGTGGTAACAGTACTCACGGAACGGAGTTTTGTGAGCTCTGTTACCACAAGTAACAGAACTTTCTGTTACCACAGGTAACAGAAAGCAATTCCTTAAATCAATATTACGATAAGGCGATTCATTCACCGTGGAAACGGATTTGTGGTACTTAAACAGAGACGCTTGTGTCTGTTTACGTACCTTAGCACCCTACCAGAGCACCGTAGCCTTCAAGACTACGATTCTCTTCACCAACTTCAAGGCTGAGGGACTGACTACCTCATCTTTTGTATATAGTTCTACTGTGTTACCATTATGTCCTTGAATTTGTATTGATGGATAATATGTACCTGCATGTTACTGTAGGTATATATTATCCATCATACACCCTAGGGTGTATGGGAATCCTAATGAACCTGAGGCAAGAGTTGTAAACGAACCCTCTGGAACTTTAGGGAAGAGGTGTATGGAAACCCCTATATAGCCTAAGGGCAGAAAAGTAATGAAGTCATTAACATAACCCGTTTTTATATAGTAACCTTACCCTTACCCTTTTCTCTCCTGTTCCCTGCTACCTGGCTCCCGGCTCCTTGGTACCCTACTCCATGATACCTGGCACATTTCTCCTTGCCGTCCTGGTTTCTGGCACCCTGCTCCCTGTAACCCTGCAGGAGACGCCCTTCGTGATGACCAAACTCGCCAAGAACATGACAGGGAACGGCCGTTACGAAGGCTTCTGCGTGGACCTCATCAGACAGGTGTCCACCATGGCCGGTTTCGAGTATGAAATTGTCGTCTCTGGAGATGGCTTATATGGTCTTATCGACACCGAAACCGGGGAATGGAATGGTCTGGTCAGGGATCTGATAGATAAGGTGAGTCAGGAAAGGAATTGACAACGAGACGTCAGGGATCGATAGATAAGGTGAGTCAGGAAAGGAATTAACAAGAAAACCTCAGGGATCTGATAGATAAAGTGAGTTAGGGAAGGAACTGACGAGGGCATAATTAATAATAATAGACCATAAGATAAAATTGGATAATCAATAGAACGATCAATTGGTGTGGTTCATTCAGCACAAGGAACCTTGAAGACTCGATCCTCAGTTCCGCTAACTTCAAGACAGACAAAATACTCTCTCTCTCAGACAGACGTGCTCTCGTGCTAGTGATGGAGATGTTGAACCAGTCTTCTCAGTATATTCACTGTTTCCCAAGACCAATACCTTGAAAATACTGTATTATATCTGCCAATACCAGCTATAATATTTTCAACGCCTGCTTTATTCACAACACCTGCAATATTTTCCGCTTCTGCCCTTCTATAAAGCATGACATAACAATACCCGTAGTATTAGTAAGAGTATATTAATCACACTTCTGAAAGCCAAATTTACGTCTTAATATGTAAAACTGGTCAATTAGCAAGAACTCATTTAAAATTAAGTCCTTTCTAAAATTTTCTCTTATACGTTTAAAAATATATTTTTTTTTCATTAATGTTGAGGTAAAAATTTTTAATTTTGCACCAAAAGGAACTTAGAAAACTTACCTAACCTTATTATAACAAGAACAATTTATTTTAGCCTAACCCAACTAAATATATTTTAGATTTGTTTACAATAATTTAATACTAAACAAACACAGTGAAATATATTTTTTTCGTTAGGTTCAGAATGATTTTGGCGAAATTATTGCATACACAAATTTTCACTTGTCCTATATGGCAAGATGAGCGTTGCTATTTAAGCCAAGATCGCAAGTTCTGCCTATTCGGCACGACATATATATATATATATATATATATATATATATATAATATATATATATATATATATATATATATATATATATATATATATATATATATATACATATATATATATATATATAATATATATATATATATATATAATATATATATATATATATATATATTTATATATTATATATCTATATATATATATATATATATATATATATATATATATATATATATAATATATATATATATATATATATATATATATATATATATATATATATATACATATATACTAATACCTACCTTGGTCCACGACACAGAAAGCTGACCTGGCTGTAGGATCTATGACTATCAACTACGCCAGAGAAAGTGTAATAGACTTCACCAAACCGTTCATGAATCTTGGGATCTCAATTCTCTTCAAGGTGAGTTTAGAGAGTGCAGGTGAGTACAGGTGAGCCTGTGAGTACAAGTGAGCCTGTGAATATAGGTGAGCCTGTGAGTACATGTGAGCTTTATGAGTATAGGTGAGTTAAAGAGCAAAGTTGAGCATGATACTACTGGTGAGTCAGCAAGAACAGATGAGTTTACATGCTCTGGTGAGTCAACAAGAACAGGTGAGTCAACAAGAGCAGGTGAGTCAACAAGAACAGGTGAGTCAACAAGAACAGGTGAGTCAACAAGAACAGGTGAGTCAACAAGAACAAGCGAGTCAACAAGAACAGGTGAGTCAACAAGAACAGGTGACTCAACAAGAACAAGTGAGTCAACAAGAACAGGTGACTCAACAAGAACAGGTGAGTCAACAAGAACAGGTGACTCAACAAGAACAGGTGAGTCAACAAGAACAGGTGAGTCAACAAGAACAGGTGAGTCAACAAGAACAGGTGACTCAACAAGAACAGGTGAGTCAACAAGAACAGGTGAGTCAACAAGAACAGGTGAGTCAACAAGAACAGGTGAGTCAACAAGAACAGGTGACTCAACAAGAACAGGTGACTCAACAAGAACAGGTGAGTCAACAAGAACAGGTGAGTCAACAAGAACAGGTGAGTCAACAAGAACAGGTGAGTCAACAAGAACAGGTGAGTCAACAAGAACAGGTGAGTCAACAAGAACAGGTGAGTCAACAAGAACAGGTGATCAACAAGAACAGGTGACTCAACAAGAACAGGTGAGTCAACAAGAACAGGTGAGTCAACAAGAACAGGTGAGTCAACAAGAACAGGTGAGTCAACAAGAACAGGTGAGAGACTACATCTGTTATTATCTGACTTATTAAGACGAACCTCTAATTAAATACCATACGAACTCGAACCTCCGTTTATTAATACAAAAGTGAATTTCTCAAAAGAACTAATATTTAATATTATAATTATAAATTGAGTATTAATAAATATAATTATGTATA